AACTAATTTCTCCTGTTTGCTTTTGCTACCAAACTAGTTCCTCTTTCATTTTCCTACTAAATGCAACTTAATGTTTAGTGACCACCTCCCAATTCATAAGAAATTCAGTATCTACCAAAGCTGAATAGAATAGTAAAAGTATTTGCTTCCGTCAGTCAAGAAATATTTCTGATGATCTAATAACTGACACCTTATGGGTAGGAACAAAGCTGGGGGATGACAATACCAGAACAGACTCCCTGCCCGCCACCAACCACGTCCTCCTCCACCTCCCGTATCATCAGTCAGAACTTCCCTTCCTCGCCTTTCACCCCATCTAGTCACTCTCTCCAATGGAGCCTGCTGTCCTCGCTCATTACAGCGAGCAGTACTGCAAGCCACTCTCTAGTTCTCATTCACGCAGCCTCCCATTAAGCCTAGACAAGGCTGTGTTCAACCCCAAATTTCACACCCTGCAATACAAGCCTTGGCTTATCCATTTTCCCTCCCCTTCTTCCCTTAAAGCTATCAAAGTTTGCTACAGAAAATAATATGTGTCAATTTGCTCTAGGTCAATTCGCATTGTGTATCCAGCTAGTCTTCAGTGTTGCCAAGAAACACTATTATGTTCCTCACAGTAGCTGCTGTAATACTTTCCCTTAAGTATTCAGGAAAAAGAAACCATGACAAATCTAAGAGAAAGTGACCCTGATACCTCCATGCTCATGACCTCCTGAAAGGGAAGGCTGGGACTGTAGTAGATTTCAGAAAAGTCTCAGGAAATATAGGCATGAATTCCACTGCAAGAGTTTCTAAAGGGAAAGATGATTTAAGAGGGTTGGAAAGTTCTTAAAACTGTAAATCTGATTACATAATTATAACTCATTCCAGCGAGGAAGTCAATGTGGCTTTTCCAATATCCTGGACACGAGAGTCCAGTACTAAATATTAAAAGTACTCAGTATGTTGTGATGCATAACAAAAGGCAGTGATCCCTAAAAGCAAGGGTTCCCTAAGAACAGATTACCTTGGGGTTTTTGGTAACATTACAGACTAAGATTAATGAAAACGTGGTAGGTGTGATGCACAGAGGTGAACAAGGATCAACTGAAAACTCTCATGACAATTCTAATAAGATGAAAAACAACTTTCTAACAACTGGAGGTTTCCAGCACTGCAACAATCTTAGGGTTCCCCTTAAGTGGAGGCACCAAAGTGCCACTGGGGGTGCCAGAGGAGCAATGCTTACACCAAAGGGTACACCAACATTGATGGCCTCCTTAAGGCCCCTTCCAAAGCTACTAAAATTAGAAATTTTATTAATGTGTACATTTAATCCTTTTGTTAAAGAGTCTAAATTTGGGGTTCTCCACCTGAGTTTATATACTGACTGTATGTTGCTATCAAGTGCTGACTGTGAAATCATAGAACCTTGGTTCTCATCACATTCTGTTCCAAACGCCTTCTCCTGTATTTTCTAACTTAATTTATGGTGCAATATCCTCTTGGTCAACCTGGCTGAAGACCCTGGGGCCATCAAATCATTTCATCTACCCGTATGACCAGCCAGCAAGCGTTCACTGAGCACCCTTTTCCTAAAGGAGCTCATGGCCAAGGAAACAGCTCATATAAGCAATTACAGCAGAAACAGGGAAGAGCCACAATAATGGTATTATTAGAAACTATGGGAGCACCCAGGAAGGAGGACTCGGAGTCAGGGAACATTTTTCAAGTGGACAACTAAGTTTCAAAGTTGGGTATTTCACTAAGCAAACTCTGAGGAGAGGAGAAAGCCACTGCTGGGAAAGGAAGTGTAGTGTGCAAAAGTCTGGCGCTATGAACAAACCACTCAGCTTGGGAAACGGCAACCAATGAGGCGTGAATGAAGGGAACGGAAGGGGCTGAGTTTGCTCTCAGAGAATCGTGGGTAAATGCCACCACCACCTACCCAGTCACCCAGTCGGCAGCCTGAAAGGTCACCCAAGATTCTGTCCCTCTCCTTCACGCCCCATTTCTAATCGTCAGCTCGCCTGGGAGAGCCGCCCTTCTTCATCTCCCCTGGATCTTTTCATTCCCTTTGTTTCCTTCGCTGCAACACCTTCAGTTACTTCAGGTTCTCCCACCTCCTCTTATGCAATAGCCCATGATGACCGCCTGCCTCCAGTCTCGTCCCTTCCCACCCACTCTGGACTCTGTCAGAGTGATCTTTTAGCACAGGGGCTTCCATTTTCCAAGAAAGAATCCCGGATTTCCCCCTTCATGTACCTCCTCTAAACTTCCAGAAAACTGTTTTGTTCCTATGGAAGAACTTCCAACATTCTGGTTCGTACTAGAGTTGGAGCTCAGAAAGACAGGCCATTCAATCCGTCTGCTTTATCCACACCCTTCCCAGAGACTGGCGTCCCACAGTCCCTGCTAATTGGGCAGTGGATTGTGGGACCTTGGACGAATAACTGTCTCAAGCTAGACCAATCAGATTTCCTACCCTAGAAATTCTGCACTGTGATCTAGACCTCAGTATGTGCTGCACAGGACTAGCGGTGCCACTTTGGAGCAGGCAGGTGGCTACTGAGGAGAGAGAAGCAGAATACTGCAGAAGCTCGCGTGCACAAGGAGGTGGAGAAAGACACCACGTGCTGGCTGGACCGGTCAGCACGGTTAAGGGAAGGTGTGATGCCAACGCTTGTTTACCTTTCTGTTTCTCACAGTGACTCACACATAGTTGATCAACACGTCTCGCAAACAGAACAAGTAAATGACTTTGGACTTGAATGAGTAGCAATTAGATAGAAGATGTCTGATACTTTTAAGGGTAGGGTGTAGGGGCAGGAAGAAAGCCTTTTTGGCTAACATCAGATTTAAGGCATAGTTTCTGCGGAAGTCAACCACACACATTCATACCCACAGCAAGCACTACCTTCACATGAGCTCCTGGTAGAGATGAGAGAAAAACCCCAGGCTGTCACGGCACAGCATGTGCTGACTGGGAAACAGTGACCTCAGTTCCTAAGATCAGTAACTGATAGCCAGAACCAAACGGCAAGGCGACCGCCACCACGCCAAACAGCTGCAGCCTGCACCTCTCATGAGACAGACAGACGTCATCACAGGACCTCATCGTGAAAACCTGTTACATTTTCTTTCTTAAGACAAATTTTCCCTTTTTCACAAAGATTTTAAAAGGCATATTTCCATAAAAGGTCATTTTGAATGACTTTATAGAAAGAAGGTAGAGAAAAGGTTAGCACAGTTTTCTATCTAAATACTAGAATCCTCAAATTTTTTTACTTTGAAAAGTGTATGATTAATATATGTTATTCTGTTTAAATATTCTTTCTGTAGATTCAGCAAATGTCCCTGCTGCTTCAAAGGCCTGGCTCCTTTTCCAATTATGATTGGACTTTACCCACAAGAGTTCTTTTTTTTAAATTAAATTTAATTTTTTTATATTAGTTTCAGGTGTACAAAATGACATGAGGATTAGACATTTACACCCCTCACAAACTGATAACCACCCCCCCCAGCCCCCCCCCCAAGTCTACTGCCCCTCAGCTGTAATGGCTCAGCTGTAACAAAGGGCACTCGAGCAATAAGACAGCCTCACATCCTGCAGGCTTCCTGACTCCACCCGGACAAGTTGGAAGCTAAGGAAGTAGTCCCATCGAGTGTACACAATGGGACACGGCAGAAAGGCAGATAAAAGACAAGGCTGGATTTCCTGCTGTGATGTGAAAGTCTTCCCTTTCCACTGCCAAGCAGACTGTGGTGGGCACAATCAACAGAGGCCAGGTGGCACAGCCCTTATCGGGCCGTGGGAGTTAATGGTGAGAAACTGGTGGGCCTCTGAGGACTACTGAGGGCTCAAGGGGTTGACGTCATTTCTGGATAATGAGTTAGGCTTAAAAATGATGACACTGCAGTCACACCACTTGAGAATCAAAAAGAAAGTGCATGTGCTCCTGAGTGGCTCTGAGATCCTGTAAATCACCCCCATCGCCATGTCACTGAGAGAGGGGCTCAGGACACTGTTTCTTCAGTGCAGATCCAATCTGGCACTTCACTAGGCATAAGACGCTAAGCATAGAAGACCCCTGATAAAAGCAGCACACTGTAGCCGTCCGTTCAGTGCTGGCACTCACATCCATAGCACATTCCCAGGGGGCTCCATCCTGTACACGTTAGATGACTTGCAACAAGCAAGTCACCAAACTGGACTAAAAGTGTCAGGACAAACTGTTTTCTAGCTTGTGCCTTTATTTTCATTTCCTGTGAAGCATAAACCAGACACCATCAATAATAAAGAGCTAAAGATTTAGCTAAAACAGTACTGCTTTTCTTTCAATGTGAATACCAATTGTAAGAAGAAAATAAACACAGCATTTGATCAAACAGCTGGGTGGAGCAGTTTCTTCGGATCAAAATAAAGCGGCTATCCAGGATGCTCTGTGAATATATAACCTATATTAAAGTAAGATTGGTTTCTGACAGCTTCCACAAAAACATGGTACCCTTTTCCTGATGACTGTTGGGTAATTTGGTTTTTAATGCCAGAAGTGAAACCTCTGAAGATCAGTACCAAAAAGAGAACATTATTCAAACGTACCTTCATTTTCATATTTAAAACATGGGAGGCTGGGGTCCCCTGACTATGCCTGGAATTTTGTATATTTTAAAACTAGTGTCTGAAAGGAGGGGTCTGATTGTTTGATGAGATGAATTCTTTGCAGTTCACAAGTACAAATGGGACTTGTGACATAACAGGAAATAAGTAGAGGCTCAGAATGCTTATATTTTATGTCAAAAAACAAAGAAGGTGAATGCCTAGCGATTCAAGGAACCTACAGATAACCAACCAGTTGAGGTGGTAGATAACAGCAATTTCTTAAAAGCCAGGACGAAAATATGCCAAGTGCCCATGCTTTAATAAAGAAATAATAATTAAAATATACAAAGAGGAAGTTTACTAGAGGCCCTCTCCCCCAGGCTCTGTCTGAGTCTGTGCTTCCCCTGAGACCACCTACCCCAGGGCAAAGCTGCTGTCCTCCTTCCAGTCCACGATGCGGCAGATGAACAGCGTGTTGGCGTAATCTTTAGGCCGGGTCACAAAGTCCTGGGGACAGTCCTTGAGAGGCACGTATATTCTAGGCACTCGGTGGTCCGAGGGCGAAAACAGCGCGTATTTTCTGAACAGCTCGCTGTTCTTATCAGCCAGGAGTTTGAGGAAGCCCGTCGCTGCTCGGGAATGCTTTTTCTCCACGATGTAAACCACCTGCAAACACCAAAGACAGAGTCAGGGCTGTTTATCCACAGGACAGGGTAACAGCTGGGAGAAGTCAGCAGGATGCTGTTTGGTCAACTCGCTGGGTCCAGCACTTTTCCTCGGTCAGAATGCAGGGCCTCTCTATGGAGCTCGGTGACTAAGTAATCTGTATTTTTGCTGTTGGGGGTGGGGGTGAGGCCCCTGCTGCTGCATTCTTCCTCCAGGCCTGGAGGCTCTGACTGTAATAGCTTGCCTTCCTCTTTTCACCTTTCAGAATTCTCCTTCGGTTGTCGCTTGTTATTTTCCGGGGTTTATAGTTGTACTTAGTGGGGGGAAGAGCAAGGAGAAAGGAGTCTGTGCTATTTGTCTGAACCAGGAGCCCTCGCTTCTTACTTAAGCAACTGACAGATGAAAAGTGTATAAAGCAGCTCGACGTTACTTGTGAGTCATACGTCGTCACAGAAATGACTTGACCACAGCCTAAGTTTCACATACAAGTGCTGTTTTGCCTGGTAATTTTAGTTTGAATTCATTAAGAAAGTATCAAAAAAATCAAAACACCAGCCAGAGAGAGGGCACCGTTGGAGGGCAGTAGCCAATGACAGAACACAAGTTCCAGCCCCAGAGGGCTGCCTCTACTCAGCTCTCGCTAAAGTCATTGAAGAACGTGGCCGAGTGTTGTCGGACGTTTTGTTTTATCAAGAGAAGCCAGAAGTCTAGTTTTTTTATGTGAACATTCCCATTTTTTTAATGTCAGCTACCAAGTCAAAATTTGAAAATACTACACAAGTCAAACAAAACACAAGTGTGTGAGCCAGATCTAGCACACAGGCTCTCCATTCGGTACAATCTCCCATAGGCAGCATGCTGCCTGGCATATGGTAAGTATTCAAAAGCTTCCTAAAATACAGATCCAGATAACTGGAAGGGCAATGGGCGCAACAGATACGCAATGTAATGCAGAAATTCCTTTTGTCACCATGCAGGAGCCGCTGTCCTCAGCAACTTGTTAGTGAGTAGAATACTGCACTCCCAGGTTAAACATGTGGCCGAGGCCTCTGGCAGAGGGAGCCTCGTGCCATTATGTCACCTCATGCTTTGCCCGGGCACTGCTCCTCCCACCACGAGCAGTTTAGGTGCAGTCAGCTGTGTTTGATCCCATATCTGAATATGCCACTAGCCCACATAATTAAAAAGTAAATGGAATTATGCAGAACAACAAAAGCAGGATATAAAAGCAATTGTTTTGTTTCTATGATAGCTAAATTAAATCTTCAGAAAAATTGAAAAAGACTTTTCAAAAGGTTACTTTTGAATTAGATACGGGCATGCCAAAAATAAAAAAACACTGCAGTAAAAAAGCTTGAATAAAACTCTAGGAGTCTACACTCATACTGCTTCACCAGGACCTAAATTCTCACTCGCTTTAATTAACCCAAACTGGAAATCATAAATATCACATTGCGAGTGTGGTTTAAACAGAAAAAGATAATGCAGAACTTCAATAACCACACCCATATACAAAGAAAAGGCTTTGGCCTTCATCCAAAGGCAGGGAAATGAATATATGTGTATGTGTTTAAAGTTCTAAAAAGATTCACTTTTTATGATACCCTGCTTCCAATAACGTTTCTGATTCACTAACCAACTACAATCCTAAGTGAATCAATCGCATGAGACCTGTGCCAGGGAGCTCAGGTGACAGCCATCTGAACAAATGAAGGAAATCTGAAGGCAATGACCTTTGCTGATCGTTGCAGCGACTTCTCTGGTAAAGCTCTTATGTCCGCTGCCACAGAGGTGCTCTTGTCTTTTGTAGCTGATGCACTGGCTTTCTCTTTTCCTAAATTAAAGAGAAAACAGAAGGAATCTGTTGATGCATATCTATTAGGAATACAGGCTCATGGCGTTTTTAAATTCAGCGCTACAAAGATTCTTGGATACCATTTATCCCAAACTACTCATTTTATGGAAATGGGAACCCAGGCCCACAGTGGTTAGGGGACTTGGCTAAGGTCAATCACATCACCAACTCGTATTAACACTCACACTCTGCAGGTCACATTTTACCTAGTTATTGTTATTCAGATAATAAGTGTCACAAAGGTGCACAGCATAAACTATGTTAAATTAAACTAAATGGCCCATGTGTCAAAATGCCAAAAACTAGACATTAAATACTGCCCCTGCTCATAATGCAGAATAGAGATAGGTTAATTTATTATGCACATCTGCTGAAATAAAAAAAAAATAAAAATAAATGTTAACTTGTAAAAGTACTTTGGTGCCAGCCATAACAAACAAAATAGTGGGAAATAGATTATATTTATTAAATAAATAAATAAATAAATATGCCAACCCTGACTTTCCTGGCTTTTCTTAGTGACATTATATCAAATACTTAAAGTCTTTTAATGTTAATTTCCTTTCTTAAAAAACTTATAAAAAGCACATTCACCCAAGAAACTGAAACCACATCTCCCCAATAAAGAGAGTCAGGCTCTGTACCTGAAGCATTAAAACCACTCAAGAACAAAAGCAGCAAATTACACACTTTTGAACATGTAGTATTTTGTATTTTCTTACCTTAGATTTCCCTCACACCACAAAATATTCTTAGCCAACTAACTATACTAGGGTTTCTTGATTCTAGGGGTCACGACCAACTCTCGTGGGACACATCCAATGAGCTAAGAGAGATATGTGCTTATCATTTAGACATGACCAGGCCAAAGTAAATCAATCAACCTTTTTCAGGGCCAGCAGCCTCTTAGCAAAGGCTCAGCTGAAAGCCCATTGTCACCACTCTGGGCGTCCTCTGGCAACGCTGACATGAGCTGACCTCCTGGGGCTTAAGAATGATCAACTGTTTGCTTTTCTATCTGTGCTGAAATGTACCCACCATAGTGCCCACAGAGAGAATTTGCGTTGTTTTCCAAAAAGAAAAAACAGATGAAAACTTTCCCACTGTTGATCACCCTGTCCAGCAGTAAAAGAGGGACATCATCCAAGTTCATCTTTTATTTTAGACCATAGTCCAGGATTCCCAAACCATGGATGCTTCCAGAACAACATCTCTTATTCTCAGGGAGAAAACGAACCACCCAAGTTGTTGATCTGTTCTATAACATATCTGCCGGTGTGTTCTGCAGAACAAGGTAATTCAGGAAAGGTTAGGACACTGGAATGACCATGAACAAGTACCCTCTACCCAGATAACTGATCTCTGAGTTTTCGGTTTCAAGAGCTGGCAGTCATTACAGGGTACTGAGGGTTTTTCCAAGGCAGCCCAAATCTTGGGCACACAGCTTTCTGTGATAGTCACTGATGGCTCCATCTTCTGACCGTTGCTGTAAATTCTATCCCAACAACAAGCAAGTCTTCAGTTCCAAAGAAGATGCCAGGTTCTATCCAAAGAAAGAGGGCGAGCCATGGCAGTGGGCTCAATCATGATTTTCAGATACCACACCTTAACATTACCTTCTCAGGGTCTACGTTATAAGGCTATCCTGGCAGAAATAAGGCTTTGTTCAGACAAAGGTGTGTTTTGGAGTTGAACTAACAAATCAAACTCAGTTTACAGCCCTGGGGGTGATCATCATAGATATGTTCAAGAAGTGTGAAGAAACACAATGCCAGGTTAGAAAGGTGAATCACCTTAATAGGTTCCCACAACTACACCTCACCACACTGAACATAAAGGTGCCAATTTAATGAGAGAATCTATGCATTGTTTAATCACGATCATTTATTTATTCACTTATTCCATGTGTATTTACTGGGCTTGAGGATTCAGCAGTGAATAAAAGAAATACGATCCCAGCCCTTAGGGAACATCTATCTTAATGCGGGAGTGACAGTCAATAAACAATCAATAAACATAAAGTTATCAATTGTGATCCATGCTAGGAAGGAAAGAACGATCCCTTAAGAAAAAGAGGACAGGCCCTGTGTGGAAGTGACATTTAGGCTGAGACGTGAGGATGGTGTGTGTAGGAGTGAAGAAGGGGACAAGTGGGCGGGGAATGGCACCAGGGAAGGGGCGGAGGTGGAAAGTTCCTGGCACAATCGAGGAACAGAAAGAAGATCACGTGGCTGGAGCACAGTGGGCAAGAATGGGCATGACGAGAGACGAGAGTGAAAGGTAGACAGGAGGCAAGTCAGGTGGGGCCTTCTAGCAATGGGAAGCTGGCTCAGGATTTTGTGCACGGAAGTTACATTGCGCCAGATGAGCTCAGCGCAGGCTTATACCAGCTAAGAGCTACTGCAGGAGTCCAGACATGAGAGGACAGTGCAGGCACTGGAGGTGCAGCTAAAAGGATCAATTGAAGACCTATTTTGGAGTTCAACAAATAGACCTTGGTGGTAATTAGACATGAGAGTTTAGGGTTATTAGTATGAGAAGTAAGGGCTATTTCCAGCTTTCCAGCATCAGCAGCAAGGCTGATGGAGGAGGCACCATAACCGGCACAGGAAAGGCTGAGACAGTGAAAATCAGGAGTTGTATTTCGGAGCTGGTTCCAGGTGAGAGGCCGCCTGCGAAACCTTCAGGTGATAATGTTGGGAAGCAGTTCAACAGGAAGGTCTGGAACTCAAAAAGAGAGATCTGGGCTGTGGCTTCAAATAGTTTCATGCTGAGAGCGTCCATATTAATTCTTTCAAGCCCAAGCTGCAGAGAGGAGTTCAAACCCAAGTCTGTTCAACTACTAAGTTTAGGAAGCTGCTACATGCTCGAGTACGAAGGACTGTGCTGTCGCTGTCACTGTTAAGGAAGAAAAGTTCACTGAGGAAGTGACCTGGGGCTTGAAGGATGTACAGATAATTTAAAGAGTGACAAGGAAGTTAAAAGGTGGTTCAGGAAAAGGCGAGCACCACGCAAAGGCCCAGAGTTGAGAAAGGGCCTGACATCGTAAAGGGCTAGTAGGAGATTGATTGTAGTACTAACAGATTGAGGACACAAGTGATGGGTGGGAAGGGGCCGGATGGGGAGAGGAACAAGGCTTGCAGAGAGGTGGGACAGGTCTTGTGGCAGAGACTAGTTACTACCGCATTATCTATTCTCTTCTTTCCTGGTAATAAGAACTCCAATTTTTAGCTAACAGACTATATTCCTCAGCCTTCTTGAAACTAAGCATGGCCTATACGTCTAATTTTAGCCAATAAGATGCAGGCTAAAGTGTTGTAAGTGGCTTCCAGGAAGTGTCTTTAAAGGACAGAAGACAGGCCTTCCCTCTTTCTTCCTTCCTGCTGGCTAGAATGTGGAAGTGATGGCTGCTTCTCAAGTACGTACTCATTCTGGTCCTGGAGGCCAAAGGACAAGGGAGCTTTCTCTGTGCAGAGCAGAACACAGAACTGGGCTGAAGACTAGAGCTCTCCTACAAGCCCTGGCCTGCCTTCCTCTGGCCTTTTTTACGTGAGAGAGACATAAACGTCTTCCTTGTTTAAGCCATTGGTATTTTAGGACTTGGTGCCATTCTCAGCAGAACATGCTTTCTGACACACAGGTCCAGGTGATGAAACCGACAAGCTTGGACACTATCCTATAAAGTGTTACAAAAGCAAGGGACACACATGTTTTAAGGCCATGAATTTGGTAGCGCTCTGGAGTGGGGAGGCAACAGTAGCAGAGATTGAGGAAGCTGGGGTCGCAGTCCAAGCGAGACACAATCAGAATCTGAATTAAGATGAATCTGAACATCAGGAAGAATACTGCGACAGAGCAATGATTCCATGATGAAACTCCTAGGCTGGGCAGAGCTGCTGGCAGTGCTCAAGGACAGAGCTGCTGCGCCCTCCCAGCCCTCAGTGTTGCCACACCAGGGGCATTCTGTGGTCCCTTTTAGTTTAAGAAATTCTAGAAAGCAGTGATTACCACTGCTTCATCTAAAAGAGAGAATTTTCTGAAAACTAGATACACTACTCATATAAGTGACAGTTCATTATATTCCCCCCACGACACACTCTAGGAAGAAAAGTCCAGTGAGAGTCTAACCTTTTTCTACAGATTATCTAAAACATCTATTTTAAACATTTAAAAAATAAAATGACATTCCCACTTACATATATCAAGTGCAAACCCAACACCTTGTTTTTGTAAAAAAAACCAAAAAAAACAATGATCCTAGTTTGGCCTTCATGTACATAAACAATAGACTGACAAGTCTATTACAAACACATCAAAAGGTTTTCAGATGACGAGATTATGATGCTAAGTGGGAACAATGTGAAAAAAAAAGGAATTGGGCAAAACGTGTTTCAATCTATCCAATTAAAAGAGTGACAAACTCTGATGAATCTACAAGTAAGCGTTTTCCATCTCTGAATGAAGGGCTAGAAAAATTTCCAATTTCCAATAAGAACTCAATGAAAACTGCAATTTTTTAAATAAATAAATTTCCCTCCCTAGCTCTCAAAATCAATCAAGCAGGAAAACTTATTTCATGGGCCCCTCATTCCAGTGACATGTAGAAATGACACCACGAGTCGTCACAGGGCAGATAATGCTCATGTTATAGTCGTTTGGTATGCTGCAAGTCTGCCAGACAGAGTGATGGACCCCACATCCAGCTCTGCCAGGGCCAAGGCTCGGGGGCACCCATGACATCTCTTCTTCACAAAATCGCCCGCCAGGCAAGTCTCTCATTGTGAAATGGAGCCAGTGAAACTGTGTGGTGCCAGCGAGTTGTGACTGACTGTGCTCACATACGTCACTTCATTTGATCCACACCACAACTTCCTCGTATGGGTACAGTGGGCATTGTTATTCCAGTTTCATCAAGGGAATGGGGGTAATGACGAGGCAGAACCAGTCAATGACCGCATGTAGGGACCCTGGTGCTGGCC